CGGATGACTGGAGGCAAGTAAGAGTTATCGCCATTCGAAAACCCGGTAAACCCGCGTCGGATTATAACTCGTACCGTCCCATCGAGATGCTGTCCTGTATACGGAAAATGGGTCGAGTCGAATGGTTTACTTTCAGATACGCAATTTGGATTTCGGAGAGGCAAAGAAACGAGCGACTGTCTTGCGTTGCTTTCAACTGAAATTCAACTGGCCTATGCGCAAAAACAGCAAATGGGTTCAGTTTTCTTGGACATTAAGGGGGCTTTTGATTCTGTTTGTATCGATGTCCTTTCGGATAAACTCCACGATAGTGGGCTTTCACCAATTATGAACAACTATTTGAGCAACTTGTTGTCTGAGAAATATATGAGCTTTTCTCATGGAAACTCGACAACTTCACGAATTAGTTACATGGGTCTCCCCCAGGGTTCATGTTTAAGCCCCCTTCTTTATAATTTTTATGTAAAAGACATTGATGGTTGTCTTGATGAAAATTGCTCGCTAAGGCAGCTTGCAGATGACGGCGTTGTATCCGTTATAGGGCCAAGTGCACCGGACCTGCAAGGACCATTGCAAGATACCTTAGACAATTTGTCTACTTGGGCTATGAAGCTGGGTATCGAATTCTCTCCGGAGAAAACTGAGTTGGTTGTTTTTTCTAGGAAGCATCATCCTGCACAGTTACAGCTTCAACTAAAGGGTAGAACAATCACTCAAAGTATATCTTTCAAGTATTTAGGTGTCTGGTTCGATTCCAAAAGCACGTGGGAAAACATATTGCGTATGTGAAACAAAAATGAATCAATCAATTTTCTTCGTACAATCACTGGAACTTGGTGGGGAGCACACCCGGAAGATCTGATCAGGTTGTACCGAACAACCATCTTGTCGGTTCTAGAGTACGGAAGCTTCTGCTTTCAATCCGCGGCGAAAACACATATCCTGAAGCTGCAACGGGTTCAATACCGTTGCCTCCGAATCGCGCTTGGCTGTATGCACTCGACGCATACGATGAGCCTCGAAGTACTCGCGGGTGTTCTCCCACTGACAGATCGTTTCGCGGAACTGTCCTTTCGGTTTCTTATCCGTTGTGAAGTAATGAACCCATTGGTAATAGAAAACTTTGAGAAGCTGCTCGACAGAAATCCTCAAACAAGATTCATGAGTCTCTATTACGATTACATGACGCTGGAGATTGGCCCTTCATCATTCAATTCCTCTCGTGTTTGCCTCCAAGACTTTTATAGTTCCTCTGTAAATTTTGATCTGACCATGTTGCAAGAAATCCGTGGAATACCAGATCACCATCGGTCGATGGTTGTTCCCTTAATTTTTGCAAACAAGTACCACAATGTTAGTAACAATAAGAGTTTTTTCACAGATGGATCAACTATAAACGCTTCCACTGGATTTGGAGTATTCAACGAATTTCATAGCGCCTCATATCAACTGCAAAAACCCTGTTCCGTATACGTTGCGGAACTAGCAGCCATATTTTACGCAGTAGAGCAAATTGCCTCACTACCATCTGATCACTATTTTATTTTTACTGATAGCCTTAGCTCGTTGGAGGCTATTCGATCAATGAGGCCGATGAAGCACTCCTCGTATTTCCTGACCGAAATCCGAGCAAAATTGAGTACTTTATCTAACTGCTCCTATACTATCACCTTAGCTTGGGTCCCATCTCATTGCTCAATTCCGGGTAATGAGAAAGCGGACTCGCTAGCTAAGGTGGGCGCTATGGAAGGCGATATTTTTGATCGACAAATTGCCTTTGCGGAATTTTTCTCAATTACCCGTCAGCACGTCCTCACCAACTGGCAGCAAAAATGGAATGAGAGTGATCTGGGAAGATGGTTACATTCTATTCTCCCACAGGTGTCGAACAAGCCATGGTTCAAAGGATTGGACATGAGCCGTGACTTTATACGTGTCATATCAAGGCTCATGTCCAATCACTACTCGTTAGACTCGCATTTCTTCCGAATCGGGCTCGCAGGCAGCAATTTGTGCGCTTGTGGTAGTGGCTATCACGATATCGACCACGTGCTTTGGTCATGCACCCTACATTGTGTTGCTAGATCCGAGTTATCCGCATCCCTCAGGGCCCGAGGAAAACAACCTATGCGGCCCGTTAGAGGCATCTTGGCGAGCCGAGATCTCGAATATTTTAATTTAATTTATGTGTTTTTAAAACGGATCGTTCTGAGGATTTAGTATTTAGTGTCATCTTGTGTTCCCCCAAGTTGTTAGCTGCCCATCGGTGTACCCCCATGTTTGTCTTTTTCGTCAGTTGGTCGCTTAGTTCGAGATAAAAAGCACATTGCTCTCCAAACCTTGTGTTCTCAATCCCTACCCTACCATCCATTTGTTACAATTTGTTACCCCTAACCTTGAGATAGCCGCGATTAATCGGCCCCCGCTTTACTAACGTTAGTTTTAAGAAATTTTGTCATCCAAACAATGAATATCGGCTCCGCAAAGCTACGGCAAATGAGCCTGGAAAAATAAACGCATTTAAAAAAAAAAAAAAAAGATTCACCTGATTACAAACAGTGTAATTTCATACATTCTGTGTCACATTATTGTTATCCAAGCATTTCAGGACGTAGATGCTTGTTCACATTAACGGATCCATGTAATTGTGTTGCTCAAATCACTTAATTTCGTTACAAATTTAGTTGATATAAAAATATACACATGTTCGTCGCTGACAGCATTGTCATTGACAATTGACATGGTTTGCCTTGACTGCTTGATGAGCTAATTAGCTTAAATGAGTGACCAAAGCAGAATCGTCAATATCACCGTGTATTGTTGAGATTTTGCAGCACTGGTTGTACCCATTCACAGGCGACGACGATGACCACAAGTTCCGCAAAACACAATATGAGAAAGTGATGAAACTCTTAATATCCTTTATATGAATGGAACCTGGGATTGATCACACGATTTTCAATTTCTTAAGCAAAAACGTCTGTGTAAGGCAGTCGAGTCTCTCATATCAGAACCACACCACTTATGATCAGGTTGATGTTATAACCAGTCAATACCGATGGTGGTGCCCCTTACACTAGAATAATCCTTTGCAATCGACGTGATGTTCTTTGTTTCGATTTGGTCCTTACGTAAGATTGGAACAGAACTTTTAAAACCTCCATGTTTTTCTATATTTTATTCTGATTTATGGAAACAAGCTGCAATAAATTTGGTCACATTTTAAGATTATGGGAAGATTAAAGTAAATTCGATTGTCATCAACCTCTACAAACACCAGGGGAAAGTCAATTTAACCAAGTCTGCTATCTCAATCGTGATTGCGCATCTAATTGTTCTCTCTGTTTCAACATGAAAGAAAATTTAACTCAGCACATCTACCCATGAGCACCAACCCAATAATAGATCACGCGTGATCGAGGCTATCCCGCCGGGTAACGAACGGGAACGAAGAGCAACGCATTTTTTATCAGATCTCGATTACTTTTTCGAATGGACGTATCAGCTTTTATATAGGGTATACGTCCCTAACCTCGGTCTAATATGCAGCCATCGATTACGTTTTTAATCATAACTCATCAATGAATTTACCTGCAAACGATATTCTACTGCTAAATGGTATGCTTAGATATGCTTATCATGTCGTTTGCTATCAGAAACCACGAAGAGTTGAAAAACTTACTTTTTTTAAGACAATAACTCACGAGGGAAATGTATGTAATATGGGTCTATTGTCCCCAAATTGGGTCTATTTATGGATGCAACTTCGTCCTATCTTGTTTGATCCTCAAAAAAACGCTCTTGGTAACGTTTTCTGATGTATTTTTTTTATCACTATCACTGTTAACTTAATGCTCTTCATTCCTCAAAACATTTCTTAGAGAAAATTTTACGAAAACTACATTAAATCACTCAATTAAAAATTTTGCTTATCGTCTTTTGACCGCAGAATATCTAAATCAGAACATTGTGATGTTCATTATACAGGTTTGGCAGAAAAAATCTCCCTTCCTGTTCGTTCCTTATCATCCAAATGCAAAACAACATTGTTGACGTTACTCTTATTGCTATATGCTGTCAAATGAATTTCATGGGCCATAGTTAGGAACATAGAAAAGAAATGTGTCCCTAAAGTTGGGTCCATGTTTTACTTGTGAAAACGTTGTTAAACAATTAAAATAAACATAAAATATTCAAACAGCAACTGTAAGTTTTACGTCTAGTGTGTATTATCAGGTAATTCCAATCAATAAATGCCATAATCAGGCCATTTGATGATCGTCAGTCAACCTTCCCATCTTAACCTTATAAGTCATGGCGGCTAAAAACTCCGAACATTGTGATATTCTCAACCAGTTTTATTACTTACGAGAGCTGAAAATGTATTGAAATGTTGTGATATAAATTGATTTGTGTGTGGTACACATTTATCAACCATCAGTGATCAATATTTTCCTTATTTTTTGTGTAATATTCCTTAATTAATTATTTATTTGCGTGATGGGCCGAATGAAAGGACTAGACCCACATTACATACCGTAACCCTATAAACAATGCATTTAATCATCGGTTTGGCGTAACTGATAGCTCGCTGATGCATACTAATACGACTATCAGGTAGGGGAATTTTTTCCCTATCTGATGGCAGTGATAGCTTGCATGAGTGAGCTATCAGTTACGCCAAATAAACGATAAAATGCATTGTTTGCATTAGCTGACACTTCCCTTTGTAAAAGTAATCGAGAGTTTTTCTTTAGCCATCAATAATAGTTTGCACTCTCCCAAATGACGCAAGAGAGATGAACTAGCCTTCGGCTAAATATTCTAACATTTGTAGATTCATATACCAACATTCGAACCATTTCCTCTAATAGCATAATAGCATTTTACAAATAGCAATGCAAATTGCAAAAGTAGCATCGCACTAAAAAAATGGTCGTCATTTCTCCCAAATTGAATCACGACCATTTTTGTCAATAGAAATATTGTTCAACACTTACGGCGTCAGCTCCTGGATTCCCAGCGAGTGCATCACAGTCGGCAAGCTTGGCAGTGAGTGACACGATGTCAGTGCCTTCTGTCTCGGGTAATAAAGCGTGAGGACAAGACAGATTTCCTCTCGAGTCGTCATGCCACCTGTGGAACGAAACAGAGAATGAAAAAAAATCAATGAACCGAAAACCGGAGATGAGCTTTGCGGCTGCCACGGCTGTTGCAAATTGTCACATGGGAGAATAAGTAGCAGGAAAAGCGCTCCTCACCCAGAGTGATGGATTTCCGCGAAGAGCTGTCATAGATACATTCGGCAATCAGGCTGTCACCGGGGAGTGCCTTCACCGGTGCCGGCAACCGCCGGTAGTCCTGATAGCTCGGATCGACGTTGGTGTCGTACACAATTGGCTGGAGCTCTTCATTTCCACGAATCTGTGAGTAGAAGAACGAAAAAAAAATATCGAAAAGAGGGAAATTGAATTCCTTCGAACAGTTTGCGAAAAATCTAAAACACGTGACGATCTCACCTGTCTCAGCTTCACCTGCCGTCCGATGAGGTGAGTGCGCGTCATCACGGCGAAAATATTAATTCCTTCCTTGGGGAAGCTTTGCCTAGTGCACTCGCCGATGCAGTGCCCTTCGGAAACTACCTTTTCCTGGCCGGGCGGAATTATGTGGCGCCAGTTTGGATCCATTCCAACCGATAGAACACCGGCATCAAAATTCCTCAACGCTTGCGTGTAGTACAGCTTCAGGCCGGAATTATCAACCACCTGCTGCTCGTCCTCCACTTCACCGTCGTCCCTGTAGACGGTGTCCCGGTTTTCCTGCTGGTAATCATCACGGTGTTCACCGTCGTCCTGGTGGTCGACGTCGTCGTCGTCGTCGTCATCATCATCGCCATGAATGTTCATATTGCGTTGCTGTTTGCTTAGATTCTTCCGATAGAACGATGAAAAATCGTACGAATAATCTGGATTATTGTAGTGCGTTTCCAGCATGTAGTAGGTGGCCTGATGCGAATCCAGTGGGTAGCCGGCTTCTTGCGGGAAGCTGAATCCCTGTGGGTGAGAGAATGTCATGATTTGGTTAAATTCATCACGGTAGAAATGTGTAAAACTATTTATTCTTGATCAAATTCGTAATTGATTTGCTATTTAGCATTGCCCGCCACATCAGTTCAATCCAAAACCTAATTTTCCGGTAAATTTTCCACCTTTTGATCAACGATGAGCAGCACCAACACTGGCTGACTGCACCTCTCGATGCCAATCAGCAACGACAAAGGCAATTCCAGGTTGTACCCGTTCAGTCCCATCCTTCGTTCGCCCGTCATCAGCAGACGGCAACGGGAATCGAAACTAATTTCATTTCGATTAGTATCGAGCAATCAAATTAAGCTCATCAGCTGGAAATCACGCAAAGCGATCGATGTCTTCTGAATTGCATTTCCACCACACCACCGACCGCACCGTGTGGGTGGGGATAGATGGAATGTGATTCTTTTACCGCGTTTCAATCCCGGGATCATCCTGGCAGTGCACGCCATGGCATCTAGGTACCTACGACTCTCCTGTTCGTTTGGTAAATGATTCATTTGGCAAAATCATCAGCACAAGAAGCACGATCCGCCGTGATGGCAGTGGAGTTGCAAAAGGCTTACATTGCTGAAGTGGAAAATTGCATTCTTTGTGGATTGTTTTTGGGACTTTTCTGGCTTGATTTGATTCAAGAACAAGTAGATGAAGCTGGAGGTTTGGGTTTGAGTTTTTAGCATTAAATTATACAAACTTTCTTGCTGGAATAATAATAGAAGAATTCTGAATATATGTCCAATATCTGAGGGGTGTTGTTTACTTGAAAAATATTCCAGACAATTCCTAGTTCATCGAGATGTTAGCTTTTGGGAAGATCAAATGCTCACAGCATCGTATAGTGGAAGAAATCGGAATAAATGTGTTCTTCATCTGAAAGTCCTTAATCACCTAAAAAGCTCTACCAAAGTGCAACATTTCCTAGATGACCAGAATTCATTGCTTTGCTCATTTCATTCATTGCTTATATTGTAGGTCTATAGCACAGTGTAGTACAACCAATTTACAACTGCGCTGAATTCGAAAGACTTTAAGGATTCCATACAATTTGAACGGAGTTTGCTGACGTTCCCGACAGAGGAAATTCCTAACGTTTACGGTGCAGATTTCAGATACTGCCAATGAAGTTTCAATGTATTTTCTGAGGCGGGAATTCCAGACGATTTCGACGGAGAGGATTCCATGGGATTTCAACTTATTTTTTTCTTTGATTTGTTTTCCGTCGATCTTGGTTTCTGTGCTGATCACCAATGCTACCGACGCCAGGGAGGCAGCTCCCACACCTGGACTCTACCTATCGACCCATCAACTCATGAACCGGGGACCAACGGCCTTATTTTCCTTACGAAGGAAGACGGGATCAGAGATGTCATGCCTCAGAACATTCCGGCGGCGCCGTCTGGTATTGAGTCCAGGCCTGCTGGGGTGAGAGGTAATCACGCTAACCACTACACCACCGGCGCCGCTAAGGGATTTCAACTTAGTTCCCTGGAAATTTCAACAGAGTTTACTGAAGTTCTGTGCGGAGGAGATTCCAGACGATTTCAACAGAGTTCACTGGCAATTTCAACGGAGTTTGCTAACGTTTCCAAAGTAGGAGATTCCAGGTTATTTTTTTAGATTCAAGATGATTTGATTGAATTTTATTTATTATTAAGGAATTGGACTATTCTACCGACTAGAGCGACTAGAGTTTGCTACATTTGACGTGCAGAAAAATCTACTAGTGTCATTGTCAGGTCTCAAATGGCACTTGTTAAACCTGCCCAGGGTGCGAACAGAGCAATTAGGCTATTTGCTTCACTCAAACCGAGGTCATTTTTTGTGAGCATTCGGTGATGATCATTTATGGTCTGGTAACGGGTATGTTCAAAATCTTTGGCAACCTCCTCAAGTTCAACCATAATCATTAGCATTGATATTTTTCCGTTCTCATAGGCATATTGAAACTAAATATCAAGCTTGATATTGATTTTACAAGCTCCTTTGAAATTGCAAGACCATTCATAACGTGTAAAGTTGAAGCTGAGAGTTGAATCGGCGCAAAAATGATTCCGTTGAACCTGATTTTCTTAAGCAAACCCCACAAGCATTCATTATTGACAATCATATTGATCATGTGAATACAGAAAAATTGCCAATATCGATGTATTGACGTCAATAAAGAAGGTATTCACAATACGATTATTGTCAATAAAATGAATCGTGTATCTAGAGTATGCCAGACACGAAGCGACTGCTGCCAGCAGTGTTGTTAACTTTTTATGGAATTTTATTGCTAAATTTAATGACTATTTTTCAAAAATAGTCAGCCAAAAAGTTATTTTTTTACAGTGATGAGTGATCCCTAAAAATCCGTATAATGTTCTGGTGAGTCCGTAGATCCGTAGTAAATCTAAAAATCCGTAGATCTACGGATTAACTCGTTGAACTGACCACACTGGCTGTCAGCCGTTATAGAATTTTCGGTTGCGTTCGTTAATGCAAACATCATGAACCTTAATCTCACCACCAGGGCCCCACAGAGTCACTTTCAATCGAAAATCGTCAAGCGACGATGAAGCTATCAACCTTCACTTTCAATTGAAAGTCATTCTGTCTTCTCTTCGAGCAGATCCCCGTCAACATCAACAGAACCACTTTCGATCAGTTTTCATGCTGTTTGTTTTGGCTTGGCTCGTGTTCATTTCGTCTTTCATTGTCAAATGAACTTAACGGGTGTTCCATAAAAAATGAGAATTTTTTCAGTCATATAGCAAGTAAAAAAATATATTAAAAACATAACGTTTATTCTTCAAAAAAACGTCAATGAATATTGGAGAAGGAGCCCTGGTCAGCCGTTCGACGCAACTTAGTCGCGATGCTCTCACAAGAGCGCTGAACGGCACTGAAATCATTCTATTTTTTTATTGCACACCCGTTACTGTTGCATGCATTGAAGCGAAGCTGTTCGATCCAAATTCGTGCAGATTTTATGACTTTTGTTGCTTGTTCACTTGGTCAAATTAAGCGTACGCACATAGATCTGTGCACATGGATGTCAAATTTAATAATTTGTTTACCCCCCGCATAAACAATAACCATACGAAGCGCCTAACCACCAATTCGGGATATCATCCCAACTTTATGTGGTATGCTCGCACCATCTATGATATCGTTAGTGTATGGTACCCGTTTATTAGGGCCATCAACAGGCATGGAAAATCATTTACATTCATTTCATGCATTCATTTACATTCATTTGCCTCTAACTTTTTTCATCAACAGCATTCCGCAAAATTATGTATAGAGCTTTAGTAGGTTTTGTTATTAGCTACAAGTTTTGCCCATATCTCAAATCTTTATCTCTTATGCATCACGAATTAGAGCGGGCAGAACTTGTTACTGTCTTTCAGTGAATTTAAAAAAAAAACAGTATTGGCTTCTGTTCGCTCTGGTTCGTCAGTCTTTTAATCCAATATTGGTTCTGAAAAACTGTGAAATACTGTCAATTATTGATCAATGCGGCTTTTTTTGGAATCCGGCTGACATCTAGAAGCCAGAAATCGATGTCCGACGCCATCTTGAAATTCAAGATGGTGGCTTCCGATTTCAGAAGAAGTGTCAAATAACCTACAAATGCCATCGAATATCGATTTTTAGCATCTACGCGTCGTCCTCGTTCCGAAAATACCCAGATCTTAGGTTATTTGACACTTTTTGTGAAACCCGATGGCCGCCATATTGGATTCCAAAATGGTATCGGATATCGGTTTTCGGCATTCACACGTTGTCCCCATTCCGAAAATACCTATATCGTAGGGTATTTGACACTTTCTGAACCCTGATGGCCGCCATATTGGATTCCAAAGTGGTATCTGATTTCGATTTTTGGCATCTACGCGTTGTCCCTGTTCCGAAAATAACCGTATTGTACGGTATTTGACACTTTTTCTGAAACCCTATGGAGTCCAACATAGCATCTGTTGCAAACACCCCTCGTCGATGAGCACACCTCCAAATCAACTGAATGGTCGACAGTTGACAGAAGCAGATCATGGGAAAAACAAAGGGTAACATTACAAAAGCGATCGAGAAGACCGAACTGATGTGATAATATATCGAAAAATGCTTTCTAAATGTATTAGCTAAATTATCGCGTTTATTTGCATAAGACACTAAATTTGATTGCTTAAAAAGCCTAAATTTGTTATTCTTACTAAGCAGTGAGTTGAAAAATTAATTATTCTCTAATTGAAGTGCTAATTTAGATGCAATTTATTATTCTAGAAATTATTAAAGGTTAAGTTGATTGCGCTCTGCATCGCCTTCACTTGGCTAATCATTAATCACTGTAAACAAACGGTAAATCTGTTAGTTAAAAGCTAATTCGGATAATTTATAAATTGATTAAATTCAGGATTTCCAAAGTCTAGTGGAAATAGATTCTATTCAGGGTTGAAACAAAACGACAGTAAATTACAAAACGCGTGTCAAAAACATTGAAAGTTAAAGATTGTAAACTAAATCACATGAATTTTCAGGAAACTTTTACGCAATACATTTTCAATTCGTTCAAAATTTCGGAGCAGACCTGTCTTTTCGTTGCATAAGCAACAGCATCGGATATTGCTTTTCGGCAGCCACGCGTTGTCTCCGTTCCGGAAATACCCATATCTTAGGGTATTTGACACGTTCTATGAAACTTGATGGCCACCATATTGGATTCCAAAATGGCGTTGAATATCGATTGTCGGCATCCCCGTACCGAAAATACCCATATTGTAGGATAGTTGATTCTTTATGAATACTGATGGCCGCCATATTGGATTCCAAAATAACGTCGAATATCAATTTTCGGCACTTTCGCGTCGTCCCCGTTCCGAAGATACCCGTATTGTAGGGTATTTGAGACTTTCCCTGACCCCGATGGCTGCCATCTTGGACTCGAGAATGGCCTCGTTAATTTAATTTTCGTTTAATATAAA